GTACCATTCCCTGCACGACGAGGCCTCCCCGGCCTAACGAGACCGATGGCGTCGACTATAAGTTTGTGACGAAAGAGCAGTTTATAGAGATGGACCGCTCGGGCCTACTGCTCGAGTCCGGTGTATATGCCGCACATTTCTACGGTATGTCCCGTTTTTTGTGTCTATACTGTATGACCGGAAAAAAGGGCTGGAGTTTAGTCCTTATTGGTGTCTAATGTGTTTTGAGACACATTTGAAAGTCATTTAAAGTCATTAGATATTAATTAATGTTTTTGTTTGTGTTTTAATGGATTATGAATTTAAAGTTCAGAATTGATTCAATTCATTGGATTTTTGTAATTTATGTCTTGTTTTATAGTTAAAGACATTATTTCTTATTGTTATGGAAAACAAAGATTTATTTTTCGTGTTATTAATAGATTTGTTTTTATAATGAGGTTTTGGTGAACACTGTTATTGTATAACATTGTGGTTCATGAAAGCAGTTTTTCTGATAGAAATGAGTACCATTCCCTGCACGACGAGGCCTCCCCGGCCTAACGAGACCGATGGCGTCGACTATAAGTTTGTGACGAAAGAGCAGTTTATAGAGATGGACCGCTCGGGCCTACTGCTCGAGTCCGGTGTATACGCCGCACATTTCTACGGTATGTCCCGTTTTTTGTGTCTATACTGTATGACCGGAAAAAAGGGCTGGAGTTTAGTCCGGCCCTTATTGGTGTCTAATGTGTTTTGAGACACATTTGAAAGTCATTTAAAGTCATTAGATATTAATTAATGTTTTGTTTGTGTTTTAATGGATTATGAATTTAAAGTTCAGAATTGATTCAATTCATTGGATTTTTGTAATTTATGTCTTGTTTTATAGTTAAAGACATTATTTTGTATTGTTATGGAAAACAAAGATTTATTTTTCGTGTTATTAATAGATTTGTTTTTATAATGAGGTTTTGGTGAACACTGTTATTGTATAACATTGTGGTTCATGAAAGCAGTTTTTCTGATAGAAATGAGAAACAAAATTAATTGAAAAACTTTTTACGACTTGGGATCAGTTCATGAATAATGATTTAATGGCAGTCTCTCTGCCCAATGCTTACGACTGAGTGTTTCATCAATTTTTCATATGAGTAGAGAAAATAGAGTTTAATAAATAGTATTTTCGACTGAAAAGTGAGAATTTTCAATGAATTGATAAATATATAAATCAATGTCTGAGCAAACTTTGTAGCCAACAAACTATAGACTATAATGTCGTACCAATCGTTAACTCTGTTATCAATGACTTTTATGACCGTTAAATAAAATATATATTTCTATATGAATCGCTTATGAATGCATTTTTGGTGGGCGTTTGCAGTCGCGCCGGGAATATATTTAGCTGTTTTGGAAAAGTTTTGTTTAGTTTTTATTGTATTTTAATTCCTGAGTTAAAAACTGTATTCATTCACCGGCTTTTCCACTCGTAATTATGTGTATGTGTTATGCAAGCATCGAGTCTTATGTTTAGACTATTTTTGATGAAATTTTTTATAAAACGAGAAGTGAGTCATAAATTTGTGAATAACTTTTATGTAACCATTGGTTTTGAGTGAATATGCTTTAAAACATTTTCTTTTGTAATTGTTTTACGCATAAAATTAGTGGAAAACTCTTTTTAAAGTTTTATAAATTTCTTATAAAACTTTTTTGTTGTTATATATAATCTTAGTTTTCTGTAACAATAAATTCAAGGATTTATTTATTGTACGCCTTCTCCTAAATAGTGAAACATTTTTTTGCTCTTATTTTGTATTTTATTTCAACATTTATTGAGTTTTTTTTGATAGATTTTTTGCGCAAATATTCTCTCATTTCAATGCAAATGTTGAATATTTCTGAGGATTTTGCTGTGTATTGAATATACAGTAACTTTTTTGCTTGTTTTGTAATGTTTATTGTTTTATCTGACATTACATTCACATTGCTATCTGACAATTGATTGGATAACGAGTGACAAGATTTATGAAAATTGAATGAAGTTATCATTATTTTAATTGATATTAATATGAATTTGCGCTGACATTTGTGTCACACACTTGAATGCCATGTTTGCTATGAATTACAATTCTGGCAATTAATGTCTGACATTGAAATTGTTTTGTAAGATATATTTGATAGCATATGTGTTTGAATTTTTTATTAGTATTATTACAGTTAATAGTATTGTTCACTTGATATTCATTTATGTTTTTTGTTTGTCTTGTGAAACACACAACTGATAGGAACTCCGCTCCCATTGACTACATTTCCGACAAACGACTCGCCAAATCACACCGCAAATAGTCTACCAAATTATGAGCAAATATCGATGAATACGTCCAACACATCCCTGGCCTCCAAGCGGCGCCGGAATCGCTCGAACATAGCGGCCATCGACGCCTCATCCCTACCCCACGGCTGGGAACGCATATCGGACGCCCATTACGGCGTCTATTACATCGATCACATCAATAAGAGGACTCAGTATGAGAGACCCTACGAGACGGAGCTCATCAAAGGGGTGTCCGGCTTTGGGTTCACTCTCGTCGAGATTGATAAGGGTTTGTGTGGTTTTTGTAGTTATTTTTTGTCTATTTTTTTGTCTATTTTTAGGCTAATTTTAACATTAATTACTTGTGTTGTGTTTCCACGAGATTTGAATCTATTAGTGAAACTATTTTTCGTTGAATCACTTCAATGACTGTTTTGAATGTAATGCTATTGTTATCAATTTGCTGAGAAAGTAGTAGAAAATCAATTTTTTTTGTAAATAATCCCAAACTTTAGTATCGGAGCCAACGCTTGAGTTGATGGAAAGAATGATAAATATTTATATTGTATTAAATCTCAACAATATCTTAGAAAGTGTCACAATTTTCTGCTATTCTGGTATTTCTTGAATATAGTGTTTATAAACACTTACAGTATAATCGATAACTTATGCATAAATAGCACACAATATAAACAATTTTACAGTTAAATCAGTTTTACATATGAAATATAGCACTTTCTTATCACGTGTTTTTATATTTTACAACATTTTTGTATAATTGCTAATTATTAATTATCAGTAATTAAATAGCATTTAAAATTGATATAAAATGATTTATTTGCCACTTAGGTCTAGTAGTGGTCAAAAGTATAATCCCTGGAGGGCCGGCCTACTCATCCGGTGTCATACAACCTGGCGATGTGTTGGTATCAGTGTCGGGCGTGTCAGTGGCCGGTCTCCAACACTCAGACATTGCCAAACTGTTCGCCACGTTTACGGTGGGCGACAGGATTAAGCTGACCTTCGCCCGGGGCTACCAACTGCCCCCTGACCTCAACGACGAGGAGATTGACATAATCAGCGTCACCCTAACCAAAGGAATCCAAGGTATGCACAGGACCGGCATTTGATTAGTGGTTTGCGTGCGAATACGATGGTTACCATTAGTCAGCTATTTTGTGGCTTAGAGTCGAGTCTGTTATCAGATGTTTGTCATAAACGGTTGTCTCTTATCTGTAAATAGGATTTGGTTTTACGATAAGTGACGCGCATTCCGGGCAAAAGGTTAAGAAAATACTGGACGTCGACCGGTGCGGCGCCCTAAGGCAGGGCGATATACTGATGTCGATCAACGGGTGCGACCTGTCGGACATGTCGCACCTGGAGGTGGTCGACGCGCTCAAGCAGTGCCCGATCGACGAGTCGGCCGTACTTATGGTGAAACGCAAGAAGCGGTTCCGCTCGAAGACACCGATTATATTGCAAAATAACTGGGAAAACGATAATTACTTACCGCCGGTGCGCAACTGTAAGACCCCTAATGCTGAGATGATGGGTCGGATGAGTCACGACTACGCGCCCAACCATTCTGTGTCCCAATACATGACAAATAGCAACTCCTATGCAAACGACGGCTTCTACGTCGGCCAACACGATATCAATAACATTAAGGTTTGGATCGCATTTTGCGGGTTTTATGGCATTAATTAATTTTGTTTTTGTATTACAGTCTCAATCGGCACCTCTACTACCGGCGCTCACATCGCCGATGGGCCAGAACGACGCCGCCCTACCGACGCCACCACTGCAGGCGTCGATCGCCAACTCGGATATGACGGCGTCGACGGCCACGGCTACTGAGGACGACTACGAGTACTTCCGGGCGTCGCTATCGCGCGCTGAGTCGGGCTTCGGGTTCCGGATAGTAGGCGGCGCCGAAGAGGGTCGCAATGTAGCCATCGGCTCCATTGTGATCGGGGGTGTGGCCCACAGGGACGGCGTGTTGAAAGCGGGCGATGAGATCATTTCGATCAACGACAGGAACGTTATGGGCGCCAGTCATCAAGAGGTGGTGGCCCTCATGTCCCAAACAGGCCCAATGGTGGCCATTCTGGTCAGACGTCGACGCAATGCCGACACATACGACGTGCAGCTGTTCCGCGAGGACGCCGAGGGCTTCGGCTTTGTTATCATATCGTGCGGTGACTGCGCCCTCATTGGCCGCATCATTGAAGGCAGTCCCGCACACAGGTGTCAGAGGCTACACATTAGAGACCGTATTGTGGCCGTCAATGGCATCGACATCACGTCGCTAACGCACCCGGAGATCGTGAACATGATTAAGGAATCCGGTATTGATTGTAGTTATTAATCAAGCGGTCAATAAGTACGTACGCGTGGGATGGGAGGTGGGGTTAAGACTGTAAAGTTATAAACTCCTAATGTATATTATGGGAGTAAATAGGGGAGGGTTTCCGTACGTACTTATTGACTGACTGCTTACAGGACTGGTATGTGGTTGTGTTACTAACAAATGGTGTGTGTTTTCAGGTGAAAGCCTTCATTTGCGTATAATTCCCGCCGATTGCTATACCGTTGAACTGATCCGCGGCCCCAAAGGGTTCGGCTTCTCGATCAGAGGCGGCGCCGAATTCAACGGAATGCCGCTCTTCATACTGAGGATAGCGCCGGACGGGCCCGCCTTCTCGCTGCTCAACATCGGCGACGAGATTATCGAGATTAACGGCTACTCGACGGTAGGCCTGACCCACGCCGACGCTGTGAACGCCGTTAGTCAGAGCGGGCCGGCAGTCAAACTGAAGCTCAGGAGGAATTACGTAACGACAGGCCATTGGGCGCCAAATATGCCGCCCATTCAGACGATGCAGACATTCATGAACTGATCGGCGCTTTTGGTGTCGCTTTCTATCGTACCATTCATTCACACGTTTAGCGATAAACTAATTTTGAGACAAATTTCCGACTTTTTTAATTGTTTTTATTCCTAAACTAATAGCTAATAATTATATAATTAATAAAATATTATATAAAAAGTAATTTAATTGAATGATAATATTGAGACACCATTTGACTCATGAGATGCTGTTTTGAATGAAGACTTTTCTCACTCAAGAAATCGTTATTTATTTTCTCATATTTTTTGTTCATTGAAATGAATTCAATTAAAACCACTCAACACTTGCTCTCAAATCACTGTTTTTTATTGAAACACATTCTCACTGTTGTTGCGATTATTATATACAAAATATTTGTCATCCAATTGTTATTTACATGTTTTAAACAGTTTTTCATAAACCTCTTAAACCTTTTTGTATCACATTTTACGAGACTATAAAATACTGTGACTTTTATTTTTGATTACTCTAATTATGGCTATTATTACGACTATTGATGTATTTAAATGTCTATTTGAAAAATGTTTATTACATTTGAATGATTCATTTGTATAAAAGAGCTCTTAATTGAAATAATTTTTGTATTTTGTAATAAAATTTAATTATTTAATTGATTTGAAAATTGTTTCTTATTTTGTAGGCATTCCGCGATCGATGTGTACTGAGAGTTGGATTCGCGTATGAATTGCATGTATAGTAAAATTGTCTAGCTTATAAATTACCGGTAATTTATTTATAAATAATTTATAAATTCATGTTTTTGAGACATAAATCTCGGCCAATATTTAGACATAAATATATCATTTCTTAGACTACTGTAAAAGCTTTTATAAGTTACTCTTTTATATGAAAAACTATTTAATTATAAACTTAATTTAAGAATTTTTATTTGATTAAGAAAGTTTTGTATTTGACAATTATGACAACTATGAGCTAATCGCAAATACAGGCCCATATGTCCAGATGTTTTGCATAATTTCAGAATCCATGTCCACCACCATAATTGAAACTTTCGTGGATACCCGGGTGGCCATTGTATTTGACGCAAAGTGCAATGCCGTCGCTTTTGCTATTCAAATCTTGAAACATCTCCTCGAGCTTAGATTGAACTTGGTCAGTTTTACTATTGAGGCACACGTCCATTAAGGCGCAAAAGCTGATGTCTTTCCCCGAGCACTGGTCACTGTTTCCAATACAGTGACCAATATTATTGACTGCGATTTTAGGGCACTCCTCTACTTTTTGCTCATAAGGGGTATTGAAGTTATCGTCTATCTGTTGCGCCAATGTAGCTTTATTGTCATTAAAACATGCTTGCACCCTTTTGAAACACCACTCCACCTCTTTATTTCGAAGCTCCTCGTCCGATATGACACCCAATGTTAACATTAATACGACAACTGGTAATAAATTTGTCATCATATGTGTAGAAATGAATCCGAAAATAGTTTTCAATTATTATATAACCAGAGATTGTGAGACACTGGACAGGAATGGTAAGGGCACAGGTGTTGAACATAATTAGGTACATATTAATAGTGAATTTTAATTTTTAAATTCGACGTCATCTCCTATAAAGTTTACAAACGTATTTTACAAATATAAATATTTTTAAAACTTATAAGGAAATAGATATTTATGTATAATGGAAGTTTATTAATGAGCTAATTTTTAATTTACAAACTATCTAGCACAGATATGAATGTTTATAGTAAAGTTAGAAATCATAATGGTTCTATTTAAATTTGACTTAAGAATCACTTAAGTTTTCAATTTAATTAGCACATTTACGGTATAAATGCATTACCCTGGTGGTATCGTAACTTAATATTTATTTTTCTATTGTATTATTAGTCACTGAAAATCCTTTAATTCCCAAAACTAGCAATTTGTTTTCAAAATTGGTATATAAATATAAAGTAATAAAATGTTTATTACATTTGAATTATTCATTTGTATAAAACGAACTTTTAATTGAAATTATTTGTTGTATTTTGTAATAAAATTTAATTATTTAATTGATTTGAAAAATTGTCTCAGCTTTCTAACTTATAAATTAATTTCCTAACTTAAACATAATGTTAAAATCAATATTTTAATAAACAGTTTGAAAATTTAATTGCAACATAATATTAAACTTTAAATAAAAGTTAAATTAATTTTAAAGTTTGTGTAGAAATTATGAATCGCTGATTGTGTGGGCACTCCCTGTCCTAAGAGACTAATGGCGCGGATGTGTCCCAACGGTGACAATAAAATAAATGACATTTGTTATCGACTTTATATTTTTGAGACATAAATAGCGAATATTAGGTAAATTGTGGCCAATATTTAGCAAAAACTGATCGCAAATGTATAGAGAAGTCATATTAACCGTGAATTGTGTTAATCTTTTCAATCCATTCAATGAATTACTTCTAAATCTCAGAGTATTTTCTAAATCTCCCCAATATTTAGACTAAATATATAGAAACGGTAATTATATAAAAACTTTCTTAGACTACTGTAAAACCTTTACCTGAAAGCTTTGGGTCACACATAAATAAAGTACTCTTTTATTTAAAAAAAATTTAATTGATAACTTAATTTGAAAATTGGGATTTTTTATTTGAAAATGATTACAACAATAAGTTAATGTGACAAAACATGGTTTAATAGCATGGTTATGAACCTTTCAGAATTTCAGAATCCACTTTCAGTGGTGCCCTTTTCTACCGGGACCAGTTTGTCATTCTGGGTAGATGTAGATGTACTTGAGCCTTTTGTCTAAATCTTTAAATTTGTCTCGACTTCAGATTAAAACAAATTATAAATGATATGACAATGCTGCTATTTAAAGAATCACTTAAGATTTTCAATTTAATTAGCATATTTACGGTATAAGTGTAGTACCCTGGTGGTATTGCAATTTAATGTTTATTTTTATATTGTATCATATTAATTTAATAGTTACTGAAAATGTATCAAACGTTTTGTATGACATTTAATGAACTAAATTATTGTCACTTTTATTTTATTACTCTATTTGTTTAGCTGTTATTAACACGACTGTCCACTCAAACAATCATTTTTTAACAAATATTTATTTCATGACTTAATAAGCTGTGAATTAATTTAATTTATTTGTGTGAATGCACCATTAACATATCAATTTTAAAACATAAATTCATATAAAAACAACAATTAATGACAAATTAATTATTGAGAATGTTCGTGGTCAATTTTGTTTCACTTAATAGGGTAATTGTTAAGAGATTTATTAAGAAAATTATATTAATAGCGAAATGTATGATAAATTTTTTATTATGACAAAAAAAGTTTTTATTACACTTTCGGTGCAAAGTTTATGCGGAAATTATGCAATTAATGAGTGTATGAATGGGTTTTCATATAATATCAATCCATATAACGTGAACCACTTATGTATACAAATGATTCATTCATTAGTGAAAAATAAACGATAATTAATTTATTTAAAGTTTTGAATTCAATTTTCTAGTCTTATTTAACATTTAGTATTGTTCAGTGTACTATCCAATAATAATTTATATCCAATACTATTTGATGCGAAAACTTATATAATATTTGTCACATAATATGATATACAATATAATATTGTGCTAAATGTTTGCCATATTATTGAATACGAAATGTTATAATAACTTCTCTCGTCGACTGTTGATTATATGATAATATGTAACAAAACACAAAAACTTTAATATTTGTGCGCGATATTAACCATAGAAACACTTATAGACATTAGATAGTAATACCTTAGATAAACGGCAGTTATGAACGCCATTGTCAGCCAATTATAGCCACTTTTATGCAGAAATTCTCTGTCATTGCTATCACAAAGTCTTTGCCACAAAACAAATGACACTTTTATTTAAGTGAAACATTTATTTGTCTCATTTCTCGACACTTATAAGACACTCGTCTTATAGCCACTGAAAGCACATCTCTATTAATAAGTCATCAAAAAAAGTTTTATTACTCAAAATATGATACATTTAGCGCCGGTATGTGTGTTCGGTCTGCTGACAGCTATGGTAGCTGTGGTGGTGGTGGTAGTGGCGGTGGACCTGCCGGCCC